GAGGCGGTGTCTCGCTCCAGACAAAGCAGGAAGGAGAACAACAGGCAAATAACTTCACACACACACTCGATCTCATTAACAAACCCGTTTATTACAAAACACTTCCTTAAGTGCCGACGAGAGTACAAGTACAAATCACTTATCACTACTAACACGCGCACTTATGTTAAACGAGATGACCGGCACGTTAGCGCCATATCACCTCGTTAACCGGCTCGAACAACAATTATATCGAACTAAAGAGTGCGCCGGCTCAAGGGGGAGCCTGGCGCAGCAGCACGAACCAAGACCAATCGCCGAGGAAAAGAGAGAACTAGAGAGAGAGAACAATGACCTGACCGTTGCTGATGAGTATTGCTGTTGCTGGCGGTTCTACAGATGGCTTCGCAGAAATCCTCGTTGGCTGCGTTGCTGGTGGTTCGTGGAGGGAGTTGCAGCTATATGCCGACAACGAAACCGGCCCAACTCTTGCCTGGTTGCTGGCTGCTTAGCTGCACGAGGAGAGACGGCTGTGCGACTGCGTTCACTAAACTCTCTTTTTGTCAATGCGGCCGATTGCCAATGCGTGCGTCGCATCACTGTCGCGAGTGCGTGAGAGCCGGCTTCTCACGCCTTCTCCCACCACTCATTTACTAATCGGCGGCACGCGGCAACGCCGGTCACAACTAGTGCCGCGCGCCAAGCCCAACCACCGAACTGCATACTACTTCTCTCTTTCTCTCTCTCTCTCTCTCTCTCTCACACTCTCAATACTCGAGCGTTGTTGCCTCTGGCCTCGCCTTCTGCTCTCGGGTATTGCTGGAATAAAGAAAGAGGCATCAGGCACGTGAAATTTAACGTGCGTTTGATGCCAGCCGTGTGCCTTCGCCCGGGAGAGATGACGCAGGCATACACGGTGTAGGCTATGACCAGCCTACACCGACACACAGTGTTGAATCAGTGCGTTGGCTACAGTGTCCGCTGTGATGTCCGTTAGCGGCACGGCGACAGGCCACCTGGTGAACCTGTCTATGATGGCGAGGCAGTACCACCAGCTTTGGACCTGCGGTAGCGTGATGAGGTTGATATTGATGTGCTCGAAGCTATTCTCGGGCACATTGAATGACTGCAGCGCTGCACGGTTGTGCCTGCTGACTTTGGCTCTCTGGCAGGGGTCGCAAGCGCGAGCCCAAGAGTAGCCATCATTCCTGACGTGGGGCCAGATGAATTTGGCTGAGAGAGCACGTGCCGTCGTGCGTGGGCTGGTGTGCGCTGGCCCGTGGAGCACATTGAAGGCCAAGCGGCGCAGCGGCTCCGGCAGGTATGGCTTTACCACATTGTCCTTGATGCTGCAGGCCACCTTGGTGCCGTCGATTTCCAGGACTTGGAGATCCAGCGCGCCGCTTTCGAGCAGGTGAATGAGCTCCTTGTCGAGCTGCTGTGCGGCTTCGATGTCCCTTCGATGGCCAAGAAGCCCGATGGCATGCCAATGGTACACGCGCGGGAGAGCATGTCAGCCACGACGTTGTCCACTCCGCTGATGTGCTGGACGTTGACGTTGAATTGGAGGATGTAGTCCATGTGTCGCTTCTGCCTCGGTGAGCTTTTGCTGGATGGCCTGCGACATGCGTGGACTAACGGCTTGTGGTCAGTCCTGAGCACAAACTCGCGACCCTCCAAATAGTGCTCGAAGTGCCTCCTAGTCTCGTAAGCTCCGAGCAGCTCTCTGTCGAAGGTGCTGTAGTTTCTCTGCGCCGGCATGAGTTTCTTGGAGAAGAAACCAATCGGGTAGTACTTGCCATTGATGAGTTGTTCCACGGAGCCGGCAACTGCCTCGTCTGCAGCGTCGGAGAAGACAACGAGCTCGGCATCTGGAGCGAGGAACGCGCTGTAAGTGGCTCGTTTGAGCGCCTGCTTGCAAACTTCGAGAGCTTTGTCCTGAGCTGCGGTTCAGCCCTTCAGTTTCGCCTTCTTTTTCTTTTTTTGCACCCTGTAGGAGGTTATCGAGAGGAACTTCCAGTTGAGCTGCTCCTCGGATGCAGTGTCTGTAGTAATCGAGAGCACCGAGAAAGCTGCGAAGCTCCTGGTATGTCGTCGGCGTCGGGATGCGGTCAACTGCCTCGACCTTGGGCGGCGGCGGCTTGAAACCTTGCTGGCTCACTGTGAATCCCAAGAAGATAACCTCGGGCAGTGCGATCTGGCACTTGTCGAGGTTGATGCAGAGGCCAGCTGAACGAAGCTTGTCGAATAGCTGGCGCACGTGGTTCAAATGCTCCTCGTAGTTCTTGGAGAAGACGATGATGTCGTCTATGTACCAGCGGCAAAACCAAAGGTCCTTGAGTAGACCGTCCAGGAAACGCTGAAATGTTTGAGTGGCTTTGCGCAGGCCAAGGGGCAGGACGAGGAAATCAATGAAGCTAAACGGAGTTATGACGGCTGTCTTGCAGATGTCTTCCTCGGCCATTGGCACCTGGTAGAAAGCTCTTTTGAGGTCGACCACTGTGAAAACCTTACCGCCGTGACAGCCATGGAGAAGGTGCTCGATGACTGGAAGTGGGTAGCGGTCTGGCTCGGTGATGGCGTTGAGACGGCGGTAGTCGCCCGTGACGCGGAAAGTGCCGCTGCCGTCGTTCTTTTCCACTAGGTGCAGAGGACTGGCCCATTGGTTAGAGGAGGGGCGGATGAGACCTGCGTCCATGAACTCTTTGACGGCTGCTTTGGCGCCTTTGAGCCTGTCGCCGAACAGCGGTCGTGGACGCTCGTACACCGGAGGCTCCGTGGTGCGGATGAAGTGGGTGACGGGAACTCCATTGAGCCTTCCGGTTGCTGGGCTTGGTGAGGTCCGCGTACTCGATGAGCAGCGCGTCGAAACGGCTCCTAGTTGTCAGCTCCACGGCAGAATCGTGCAGGATGGTGACGGTATGGTGCGAGACGGCTGACAACTGACCTTGGGTGGCCAGCGCCGTGGTGGCGTCGACAAGACGCTGACTTTGGAGGTCCACCATGAGGCCTGCGTGACCATGACCTCTTTTTCAGTGCCGAACGGGGCAGGAGGGATACGACAGATCCCGAGTCGACCAGAAACGAGAGGCGAGAGTTCCTGTCGAAAACGTGGAGGCGGTTTTCCTTTGGCAGTCCGCTGCCGTGAGCCGCCTGAACTGTGGGCAACGGTTCTAGTTTTTTAATGCCTTGGGGTGGTTGCATGGCTTCTCGCATTTGAGTGCTTCATCCCCGAAGCGCTGATGGTAGTAGCAGTGGCCCTGCTGCGCTTGAGTGGCTGACGTGCCAGAGCGCCTGCGGCTGTGGCTGCGTCCTCTGCCCTGGGGCCTCTGCTGACTCAACACTTTGACGGCCTCGGAGGTTCGCTCAGAGGTTGCCAGAAGCCGTGACATGAGGGCGGTCATGTTGGCCATCTACTTGGCCATTGCATGGTCCTGGCGATGAGGAGAGCTGCTGCGAGAGTAGGTCTTGACAGCGGCAACGGCGGGTGTTGAAGTAATGTTTGCCAACTTGTTGGCTGCTTCCGCCAACTTGTCGAGTGTGCCGTCGAGCACGGTTAACACGCCCTGCGAGGACGCGGCAGGAGAGCAAGCCACTTGACCTTGAGAGCATCGTCAGTGACGCTATTGCCTGCGAGGATGCGCATCTCGCGTAGAAGCTCTATAGGCTTCTTGCCTTCCGGCTTGATATCGTTGAGCAGTTTGCGTAGTCGTTGTTCGTTAGTTTGGGCGAAACGCTCGAGCATGCGGCTCTTCAACGTAGCGTACCTGTCAGAAGTCGGCGGCTTCTGCACCACGTCCAAGAGCTCGTTGACAGCGTCCTTGCCGAGTGCTGCAATGACCAGATTGTAGCGCTTCAGGTCATCGTCCACACCATGGGCTTGCAGGTTGGACTCTATTTGCGCGAACCAAGCCTCCGGCGCTCCTTTCCAGAACAGCGGAAGTTTGCACCTCGACGCGTTGGCGTTGAGCAGCTGCGCCTGGAGTAACTGCACTTGTTGCAGCTGCAACGCGAGGTTAGCGGCATCGACAGACTCGAAGTTCTGGGCTGGCGGAGGTGAGTTGACCATGTTGCCCACTGAAGCGCTTGCCGGAATTTTTTTTTCGAGCACGCGTTTTTCTTGTTGCGTGAGCGCGTTTGATTCGGCACCTGCAGGCACTTTCTTATCGTTTTGTTCGGATTTTGTGTTTTTGGGGTTTGCTCCCGCACTCACAGTCACTGACTTTTTGTTAAATTCAAGCGATTTTGCGAAGGCTCGTTTGATCGGCCTCGCCTGCACGCGCGTACCTGTTGCATCAATTGCTACGATATGTAGGGGCAGGCGTGAGCGGGAAATGGTTAACGATGGCGGCAGGGTGGTCTGAGAGCCGGCTTTCCGCGCGATCACGTTGTCAAAAAGAAATCCGCTCGGATCACGTCGGGGTCACCACTTTGGAGATGAGTTCGAGAGAGAAGTGATTGTGCGAATGCGAGAGGATATGTTAAATATAATATTTATTACTTTTACTCTAAATTATACAAAGGTTTGCTCTAATGACTTGGGAGCAAGATTCGATGCGTGTGAGCCTGTCGGTCATTCTTGCTCAGACTAAGTGTCGATACTGTCGCCGGTGCTGCCGCGGAGCGGAGCCAGAGCGAGTCGGATCTTTCCCCACAAATTTTTGTAGCTTCATGAACATGATATTCACATAAATTTTTTTAATCACTTGATTTATCCCCGATTTTATCATCGATGTTAATAGTGTGTTTAACGAACTAATGATGTAGTTACGATTTAATTTTCTATACACATTTTTTACAATTTCATTCAAATTTGGATCTGAGGAACTGAATTACCTAGCACTGAAAAGCTATTTTTTTTAAAAGGATATTTTGAGAACTAATAAATAATCTTAATAGAAGTTGTTTCTTTTTACGAACTGTCGAATGGAATAATTACTTATCAATTATCTTAAAAATTTTGTTCAGTGTTCTATCTTTTAAGATTGAGCTTTTAACAGTTGTTTGTATGCCTGCTTTGATGCTTCGAATTATGAATTTTTTTATAATTTTTTAATTTTTCAATTTTTTAATTCTTGCAAATCAGATTTTTCTTAAATCATTTTGATTAAAATTATTACTTCTAACAGGTGAAAAACTTTCACAAAAGTTCATAATTTTGTATACGAAAGGAGTGTGTGTACGCAATTTAGAGATTTTTAGATATTTTCGATATTTAAATGGGAGCTAATTATTTGTACTTATTGTAAAAATATAGAGAATAATTACATTGTTTTCATTATAGCAATAATTTATGTTGATATAGTGCAGTGTGCATATGAAGTTATCTATTAGTTTTTCCAGTGAAGATTTCAAGTTTTTATTTGCTTATTAAAACAAAACAAAATAATTGGTATTTTATGGGAAAATGTCATGTGAAGAGGTTCAAGGGTCATTAAAAGAGGCTTTATATGATACCCTGGGTGATATTTTGTCTAGTGAACAAAATATAAGACATATAGCAGAGCAACGTCTAGTAGCTTTAGAAGTCACAGAGGAATTTGGAATTCATCTTACTGAATTTATTACTGATTCTAATGGGCCTGTAGCTATAAGACAATTGGCATCTGTTTTGTTAAAACAATATGTTGAATATCATTGGAGCTCTTCAGCTGAGAAATTTCGACCTCCGGAATTAAAACTTCATGTCAAGGATAAAATTAAAACTTTGCTACCACTTGGTTTACATGAAACTATAAGTAAAGTAAGTGATTTTTATATAATTTCATCGATAAATTTGTATGCCCATATTTTGAAACTTATTAATAGGTTAGAACTGCTGTAGCATATACAATATCACGGATAGCTCATTGGGAATGGCCAGAAAATTGGCCTGGACTGTTTGATATTCTTGTCAATTGTTTAAGTGGAGAAAATGAACATGCAATTCAAGGAGCAATGCGAGTCTTGTCTGAATTCACAAGAGATTTGACTGATACAAATTTACCTAATGTTGGACCAATTATTTTACAAGAAATGTATAGAATTATACAAATTAACACGGTATTGTGATTACATAATTAATGTGATTATATGTATATTATATTTTTAATCTCATTTTTTAAAGAATTTTAATCACTTACCTGTCATTTGATGTTTTAATTAAAAATATTTAATTAAAGAAATATTAAGCATGACTATTCTATATGAGAAATATTAGTCCGTGCATTCAAACTCTGAATAAGTTCAAAATTAATGTTGGTTGAGTCATTGGAAACAAAACTATTAATTAGGATTGTACCATTTTCAATTTTCTGTATTACCTTTCTCATATGATTTTTAATAAATTTTTTTATAATGGCAAGAAATTATGGAAAATATTTCCATTTCATTAATATTTAGAATTTTAGAAATTTTTTAATGGCAACATACAGATGATTTTTCAAAGTAACATTTTATTTACATTTGAGATTATGATACAGTGTCTAGTTGATTTTTTTGAATCACTATATTCTGCATGTCATTTGTTATATTCATTCATTACAGCTTCCAGAAAAAAATATTCCTTCATAGATATTAGGAGTAGTACATTTTTTCAATTTTTGAAGCAAATTTCTATAATAGCTTCTTGTGGATTATTTGCATACTGTTTAATTTTTTACATTTAGCTTGTCCCCAGGCAATAATATCATAAGTAATGACGCTCTGAAAATATATAATGTATCTCTGTAAAATATATATTATTAATAAGTATTAAAAAAAAATTGGAATAATTTTCAATGATAATTCTTAATGCTACATAATCCAAATAAAATCCATTGAGATCATATTGACAAGCAAAACTATAAAAAATTATTCAAATTGATTAGATTAAGAATTATTTAAATTGATATGGTTATTAATAATAACTTCTTTAAAAATTAATGTAAAAAAATAATTGAACATATAATGCATATTTAATTGACCCTAATAAATATTATAAAAATGAAAAAAGATTTTCTCATAATCTACATTTTTAGTGTATGTATTAGGATTCAAACCCTCAATCTTCTATATATTAATATTGAATTTTTATCACTAGACCATCTATAACTTACAGAATAGGCTCTTTGGATCAAAATCATATAATGTAATAAGACTACTGAAATGAACACTATATTATCAAATAACATTCTATTGAAACCTTATTGTTATGATGGGTTAAATAATTTAAGCTACTACGTAGTCGTTTCGTGCGGCTAAAAACGAGCGCAAATGCATAGAGCAAGGCAAGAGACAGATAAGATTAGATGAGGTTTTTAATTGCGATTGTGGATTATGGGAGAATGGATAAATGTGCAGAATTAGGCCGAGTTTTAGATGCACGCAATAATATAAATGACAAGTGGTTGAACTTGTTGATCATGACGCCGAGAGAGAGAGAGAGAGAGAGAGAGAGATAGGGGGGGGGATTTTATTTTATTTGATTGAAGTTTATCACACTTATAGGGTAGAACCCCGTAAAAGTAGGTACAGCAATACAAAATGTGATAAAGTTTGGTTATTAACAAGCAAAGGTTAATAATACGCATCAGACTGGAATTAAGACGTGGGTTTTGGACAGATCAGACCTCAATTAAAGGTTATGAATAAAAGACAAGATAAAGCACAATAAAAACAAAATGAAAAATAAAATAAAAATAACAATAAAAATAGAATAAACGCAGATTAAGGTTTAAACGTTAGTAAAAATCATAAGTCGAAAGACTAAAGTATTAATAAAACAGAACGCACACTTAAAATAATCACAATATAAAGTAATGTCGAAAATCTTAAATCTTCAATCCTAAATCTTGGCCTCAGTTTGCAAATGAAAGAGCGTCAGAAACGAGTGATATGACAAAAGTGTTCATCGTCATCAGTGGTCAAGGTTTTGTATATAAAGTAGCGGTAAGCTTGATAATGTGGAATGAAGGCGAGATCCTTAAAGCCTCTTAAGTCCCTGAAGATTTGTCTGACTCATGAATCTAACCTTTTACGAAAAGGCATTAAACGTAAGAAGATGTAGTAGATCGAGATACCAAGTCTTAAATTCGCCAATTCTATTTGAGTCGAAGTTAACGATATTGAGTGAATTCAACAGCTCAGCCTTACATATTGCAAACGCTTTCTTCCACGCTTCTGTTCTGACATTTGTGATTGAGAAGGAAGCTGGTCAATTACTCGACGATATTCGCGTTACTACACTTTGATTCAGCAGTTTAAAATTGTCAGCCAGATAGGTTGGAGTTGAAGTTGAGACAGTCTTAGAAGTAGTCTGAAAGAGCCATAATCCTGGAAGGTCTGAGCGCTAGCCATCTCAACTTAATCCGGTGAAACGTACATAAGCAGTGATATCTCTCGTGAGGATATGGGGGGCTTTACCAACAACAAATCTGAGCAATCTGAAGTTCTGCTGCTTTTGCCTTATCCAATTCCCTATAAGCTAGTGAAGCATAATCAAAGTGAGAAAAGACAAGGGATTGGACGAACTCTCTCGTCAGTGTCGTAGACAATGATTGCCTGTAAAACCTCAAGGATCCCAGTAATGCGTAGACCTTCCTAATAACATCTTTGATGTGTTCTTTACACTAAATTGTATGAAACAAATATTTTGTCAACTGTGGACTTAAAAGTCGTTCCATAATTTTAGAGATCTCTCAGAGCTGAGCAATTGGTCTTGTATCAGAAGAATTTAAGGGGGAGATAGATGGCGAAGTAAAGTTCTCTTTTAGCTGGATGAGTAGTTCAGGTAGATGAGTGGACAGAAGCATTGAAAAGTGAGGTGAAATCTGATAAGTGGGTCCGGGAGCCAGCTTTAGCATGCTGACCATTAGACCATCAGATCCTTTGGCCTTTGAGATGTAAAAGCATTTTTTTGAAGCGCAGATTGAACCTAAGCGTCAGAGACAGGCTCAAGGCTGAAAGCTGCTCGTGTTTGATTAATAGTTCGAGGTGAGACCAAGATAACTTCAAAGTCTTGTTGAGTTAAGGGTTGTGCTCGATTAACTATGAACGCATAGTGGTTATTTAGCTCATTAGCTGTAAAGAATAACAGAGGCGATGGATAGGGCTTTCTGGTGAAACCCATGGCATGAAGTTCTTACCATTTCGATTTAGCGTCGTTGACAATTCGAAGTTTCTTCAAGATATAGGTATTCTTGGCAGTATCAAGGCCATTACTCACTTTAGGTCTGAAGTGCTTGTACTGGAGAAATTCAAGGGATTTATAAGTAAACTTTGCAGAAGAGTAAAGAGCATTTTTCCGGTTTATCAAGGCCTCAAAATGGGGCGTAATTCATAGCTTACTACGTGAAGAGATGTGGATAGTTCTGATAAGTGCAAGGAAATCATAAACTGCTGTTAAAGCTGTTGTAAAAGCTCGTTCAGCTGAGTTAAGCTTCGTGATGTGTTGAGATAAAACAGATGTAGTTCTATTGATCGTTTTAATAATACTGTGATACGTTTGAAGAAACTCATTAAGGCACGTTTCAAATACTGGTGGAGATATTTTGTTGATTTGATGAGTCTGGAATGTCTTTTTTGGGGGACATTCGACAATTCAGTGTTAGCTCAATAAGGTCGTGGTAGGCTATAAACGGAGCATCAAATTTGTTAAAAAGTGGAGAATCATGCTTGATGGTAAAAAGGTCCAGAGTATTATGAGATGGAGAATCCTTTTCATTGATGTGATGAGTCTGCTCAGTGGATACAACCCTTAAGGCATCTGTGCCAATCAACTCACGAAGATTTTTAGCTTCATGATGAGAAGTGAATGATAAGTCAGCATTAAAGTCTCGAGTAAGAATTATTTCGTTATAAAATAATAGAAAGGTAGCTAATGTGTTAAATAAAAATGTTGGCGATGTTCCAGATGGACGATGATACTACTGCAATTAGAAGCTTAAACAAGTTTTTTTGATCTCGGTTATAATCAATTCGGATGTGTTATCAAATATGGGGTCACATAAAGCCAATAAACTGACATCATAAAAGTCTCTAACATAGAAGTCCACTCCACCACCTTCCTTATTCTCTTCTATATAACCTGGTAGCATGAGATGAGAATCTGCTTCATCCTTTACTAAGAAAGTTTCAATGACAGCGAAAATATCATACTTCTTGGCAGGGTGCTTTGAGTAAGGCGAAGTGAGCAGTGGAATCTAGGCGATTTACATTTAAATAAACTGTGGTGAAAGTAGCGGTGTTCGGAGTTGACTGACTAGTTAATTTTCATGTTGAAGTAAATTTTGATGTATGATAAATTGTGGATTGAAATTTAGAGGTTGAGCTCGAACTGGTCATCCAGCGATTGATGATGTTGAGAATCCATAAGGACCTGTTGCATAACAGGTGCCGTGTAGGAGCATTTCACTCAACAAAATTAGAGAGAGAGAGAGAAAGAGAGAGAACAAAGTGAACAGCGAGCTACTAATGTGCCGCTACGTATGCAATAACGAAATGTTGCTACAGATAACATAGCCTCATAACTCATTTCTTAAAACTGGATTCCACTCGTGGTGATCGGAGAGCGATGGCCCGGACGGCGAGTTCCTTGATGATTACGACGTCAGGCGTTAAGATTTCACGAATTATACCAGCACGCGCGATTCAAGTCACACTCAAAAACAGACGTTTCTTTAGCAAGAACTGAAAAACGGCGAACTCGAAGGAAAAATAGTGTGTCGCTGGCTCAATCTTGTCCGTCGTAGCGATACTAATTTTGTTCATAGCATGCCGCTCTCCTCCTAGCACCACGCACGCACATGCTTCTCCTAAGTGCACTACCGAATTTTGCATATAGACGAAAATTATTGGATTGAATGTAATTACAAATTTCCTTCTTTTTTTAGATATTGACAAATAGTAAACAATATAAAATAAAATCTTATTCACCAGGTTGAATGTACTTTATGAAAATATATTGAACTTTATTGAATAACATTGAATTTAAAGTATTTGGATCGCTATTCTTCAAAATTATATTCAGAATGTTTGAAAATTACTGAAATCAATTATATATTTTCACATAGAATGTGATTGTA